GCTCCAGTGGTATCCTGCAGCACTTTTCATTCCCAAAGATCCCGAACAGTCAGGCCACGCGTTGTCCGCTCCTGTCACACATCCATCTCCAGAATGAAAAGCCACTGCCAGCAGCCTAACTAAACACTGAGGGTTTTAAACTTGGTTTCATCCCTCACCATTTCTTGCTCTGCAAATCTGCAAGGACCTATTCAATCATTAGCTGCCTGAACTGGTTCTCTAATAGACCACTCCGCAGCCCACGAAAACAGGCAAGAATATAACAAAGCAACCTTTGGAAAAGGGCCATGAGAGCGATCCTAGAGCGTATAGGGCATTGGTCAACTGGATGATACCACCAGGCATGCTATGTCAAAATCTTGCCAAACTTTGCCTGGTCAGATGCTGCAATGTTCCAACCAAATGCCTTTAGCTCGATGGAGAAGGAACAGCACTGGAAAGGATGTTGCCTTCCAGTGATGGCAGGGATGGTTGCCATCTGAGGTGTATAATCCAGATCTCTGAGCTAAGCTCACATTATTGCCACAGCACATGCATAAATGTAGGCTTTGAGAAACCAGCAGAAGCATCAAAAGTTAAAAACTTGGCCCTAAAGTCTATACATGTATGTGTCTGCCCCAGTGCCCTCAAAGGTCAACCTCCACATTCATGTCTACATTGACTGGGAAGTACACCCCATGCACATGTTCCACACAAGCCAACTCCCAGCAATGAAGCAATGCGATCACCCTGGCACTGCTCTTCTGATCTCTGCATCAGAGGTGGTTAATGGCACACGCTCAAGGCCATCCCACCGTGATCGCGTTGCCTCACATTCAAGATGCAGGGCATGTGGTATGGGAGTGAGTGGGCTGGCCTCAGCATAGCATCGAGGTGATGCAGCCAGGGCCAACATTTCTCATTTCCCTCGCGGTCTTTCAATGCAAAATGTAAAGATTAGAGCTGACATGAATCAACACATCCATGGGACTCCCATAATGCCTCACAGTGGCTCTCCAAGGAGGAAGACCACAGGATATCGTGGAAGGTTTGGTCAAGCCAGGAAGCACAAGCATATTGCCCGAAGCACTGGACTCATAACACACACATGGTCACCAGAATGTCACCCGTGAACCAAAATGTTCTGTGTTGGTTAACAGGTTTTGTGTTTGTCAACCAGTTTTTCATTCATAAGTCAAGATGTGCCAGTGACCCCTAGTCTTGGACTATGAGATGTATAGAAACTGGGTATCCAACACCAAGCATAGGCTTTTCTGAACCAATGGCTCTCCTTCTAGTTGGCGTCCAATAAAAAAAAGGGGGGCATTAGCTTTTACTATACAGTATTTAAAAAAAAAAAAGGACAAAAAACAAAACACATGCTACCTCTCTCAGGGCAGGTATATGCAACGGGAAGTCCAAGTTCGCAGGTCACTGAAACCACAAGAGCATTGCTTACTGCACTCCAGGAGGAGAAAAAGTCATTTAATCTTGCTCCGTTGGCTACTTCTTTTCTTTCCCTCTCTTTGCTGAAAGGTTCGTTGCTATTTCACAATGATGTCTTCTCATTCCCAGCATAAAGGCCTGCCGCCACTTGCCAATCCCTGTCCTGACATTTCTGAGCTTTTCTAAATTTCTATTTTGAACAAGGTCTCGGCAGAAAAATTAACTTGTGTGACCTGGCTTTGGGCTTGGCCCCTTTTCAAACATACCCGGCCTTCCCAGAGCTTCACAGAAAGATCCACACAGCCTCAGAACTAATTGAATTTTAATGAGAGGAAGTCATTTTTCCACTGGATGAGTGTTGTGCTGCAGAAATATTTTGCAGCTCCTCTGACCTTGCCTGTCGGACTATAACTGTGACGCAGCAGACTAGCAAAGAAGCCTAAATCTCTATAATGAACTAATGGCTGTAGTGGAGTTCTGCTTGGTTTGTAAACCCCTCCTCCACCATTAAAAATGTGAATGAAACTGTTTAAACTTTCAAAAAAAAAAATGATCCATTCAAGTTCTACTTGATTTCATTCCCAGCGGAGGTCGGGCAAGCATATGAGCTCCCTCAACTTTGCGCACTTGCTGGTCTGTACTGAGATGAACACGATCCGAGCCTCCAAATATTTCTGTATCTGTCATTCCAACCTATTCCTAGTTCCCAGGAAAACCTACAGACTCCTAGCAGTCTTCCATCTCTACAGCTATAGAAAACACCTCAAAATGCATGATTAACGGCTCGAGGCTTACACAAAAAACGTGCCCTGACAGGCGGCGGGATAGCTTCAATGTCAGTGGACCAGGTTCAGAGTCTGGATATTAGTAAACAGCTTTCCAGGGCTTGTTAGCAAGGTGCATCCTTTTCCATCGTTCTTACCAAGATTTTCTCCACACCTACTTTCTCCTCAGGACTTCAGACTGCAAGGGTTAAAAACCCAAAGGAAATTAGGTTACTGAGAAAGGGAGGAAAATCAGGTTACGGCCTGCTGATTTCATGAAACCCTTTTAATTGCATTTAATTGTATATCCAATTGACAACTATCGACATCCTGATTTGTGTGTGTGTGTGTACACGTTAACAAATAAAACCTCCTTCCTCGTGGAGTGGAGGCGGCGGGGAGGGAAGCAAGCAGGAATCTGAAGCAAGTATTGCAAGGTGCTCGGTTGTTCTGACAAGTTGCCCACTCCTGGTAAAATCATTTTTCTGGGCTTTTCTCTAAGTGCCTGCAATCATCTAGCTGATGTGTATTGTAATCAGTGCTAACACCATGGAAACAGACTCTCTCTGATGGCTAGAAGATGCAATGGGTCTTTTTTTCCTCCCACTAAGACAGATGCCTGCTTTCATCAGGGCCAGTTCATTTTCCCCGATGATGCTCACGCCGGACTCAACACAGCATTGCCATCTTCACAAACATGCCCCCCTTGTTTAGTCGAGTGGCTAGAAGTCTTATTTCCAGACGACCGTGAAAAGCCAGCCCATTACGGGGGTACGGCAAGCTTTCAGGACAGCTATGAAAACCACACGGCTTTAAGTCCTCGTCATTTGTGAGAGCACCTCCTGGCTTGCACAAATTCCAGACGTCCCATAAATTGGCTACTGCAGAGGATCCCATTATGAGGAATAGAAAGTATGCAGTTCCTCTTAGGAGCTCTTTCACTAGGCAACTCAGTATTAGTATGGAATAAGCCACTTCAAATGACTCAAGGAGCTCTTTCACAAATGCCATCTTGGCTGTCCTCTAGTCTGGATGTCATACACGGATTTCTTCAAGAGAGTCTACTAGATTCATAAGGACCAAATACTCCGACAAGGTTCACTGCTTTACATAATCGCTCTGCTTCAACACAGCATTTGATCGGAGGGCTGATTTTCTTCTTTTTTTTTCTGGCAACAAGTCCAACCCTGGTAAAAGACACTCCAATGCACATTGAACCCAGCTTTTACCTTCCTCCTTAATTGCTATATTTCCCCGGGAACATTTATTTAATGCCGTTAGAGACACAGCCAGAATCCTCCTAGCTGGGATTTGGCAGCAGTGTTCAGTCACTTGAGTTTTTTGCTCTGTTTACAGCAGAACAGCTCCCAGATGTCGGTAATATTAAACAGCCTGGAATTTTCCTTCTGAGTCATGGATAGGACAGTGCAGATGTGGGCTAAATTCACCGGTCGCCCTGGTTTGGAGACGTTCCCTGTTCCTCTCCTGTGTTATTCAACTAGTTCTAAGGAGCCGCAACGTGATAAATGCAATCAGTAAGACATGCAATGCAACGGACCTAATTCTGAATCCAGCTACTCTGGCTTTGGTTCACGGCTTTCAGCAGAGCTCCTACAGATTTACACCCATGTACACAAGGGCAGAGTCAAGGCCAATGTTCTTGGACACACAAGAGACAAAGAAGTCGACTGGATCCCTGAAACCGCAGCTTAACTGATACGTAGGGTGAAATTCGTCAGTCAAGCTAGGTGCCAAATGGCAGAAAGCATCTCAAATGGAGGAAATATCTATAATCCTGGATCTGGCTATCTCTGTTTTAACACTGATTAAGCAGATCTGCACAGGAACAGTACACAGTGCAAGGCTTTTTTTTTTTTTTTTTAAATAAAAACGACTGTGCGGGGAAGGGTTGGGAGCAACCAGCTAGAAGAGTGATGAGACGAGCGAGTGAAGAGATTGGGATTCATCGTTGAGCCCATGGCAGGGGCAGCAGCTCTCCCTAGGACTTTCTTGTATCCCTGAGAATGAAGGAGTTGCTTTCCTTAGCCTCTACTTCCTAGCCACAGAAAAAGATGGGGACACATAAAGCCCCATTGTGATAAAGGGCAATTCTGTACTAATCCTCCATATATGTTAGGCAAGCGACTTCCTTGAGTATTACAGAAAAACAGCTTCTCTGGACCAGAATCCAAACCAGAATCACCAGATCGAAATGGCGGTGATGAGTCAAGAAGGTTACGAGTATCCACATCAGATGGGATTTTGATAAGATACTGAGTCGCTCAGCAGCTGGTTTTAAGAGAAACCAGTAGCTCAACTGGCCCAAACAGCCACATATCTCCTTTACAGGCTTCTCACTGCTAAACTCCACTTCATTGCATTCAAGCCAACCACTGAATCTACAGGCACTCATGCTCCAGAAATACTCTAAATGAATCCAGAGCTCCTCTTCTCTCTTGCATTGCACAAAAATCAGACACAGATGTACCTTAAATTAGAAATACTGCAATAAAATCGATTGGCCCGATGTATCAGCTGACGCAAGTCTATGGAGCTGTGTTGGAAGCAATGGATGAATGTCAAGTGGAACCAGGTGAGAACTTGACCCCCGTATGATGACTACTACAACAGAAATGTATTATCTGGTAAATCAAGCGTATGACATTCTTTAGCAGAGAAACTTGGACGGGTCCCAGCTTCATACAATAGCAGAACGAGCCCCACCAATGAGCTGTATACACCACTCATCACCCAGAGCAGCAGCTCATAGGCTTTGCAAAGCCTCCCCAACAGCTCACGCCTGCACCTTACCTCAAAGACTTCCTCATCCAGTATCCTGGTTCCAAATACAATGATGCCATTGACGTCAATGATAGGATGGTTGCTTCGGTCGAGGAACTTGGTGACCTTCTTTTTACAGTCCAAAACCAAAGTGACATTTTTCTTCTGCACGCTGATGGCTATTCTGTGCCACCTAGGATACAACACAGCATGACACCGCATTAAACAGAGCCTTGTGCTTTCTATCATAACCCAACAATTTTTAATAGCTACTTGAGTGTGAAAGGTGTTTGATTAAAAGGAAAGGAAAAAAACCCCCAAACACTAGCCCATTCCCTCAGTGAGGGTGAAGGGTGAAAAGTGCTCTTGGGCAAAAAATTGCTTCCACCTAAGCCCCCAGGCTGTTGGTTTTTATATGGTTGGGGGATGTCTTAGATCACTTAGCATTGGAAAGTGGCGGAGGTCTACATAGATCTGGGCTCACACGGACACAAGGAGGCAGAAGCCCTTGCTGCATGCCAACATTTCCCCCTTCCAAAGCCTTACAAAGGATGGTTTACATGGACTTTAAATGGCATAGTTTGGTGCAGATCCTTTGCATGGGAGTGGATATCATCCCTATCTCCCTAATATCCCGGTGCCCAGTCTTGCCAAACAGTCCACTAATATAAAAGGCAACCACCTAGTTGCCCTCATTTATGGGGCAGAATATAAGGGCTCAGTTAAGGAGCACAGGACACTAGGGAAAAGAAAGCATGTAGGACAGACAAGGGGTATACCTACAGACTATCGATTGAGCTCACCTTGATGCACAATAAAA